AATTGAACAAGGATGACTGCGAATTAAATCAAGGAGTGATTGCATGATATTAATTGTTCTAAAAGACTATTACCGTTTCTTGTGTTTTGTAACAAAAACTGATGTAAATAGCTCCTCCCAGTTCGTAAAGGATGTGTATGGATTCCCCTTTCAAGATTTAAATTGGGAAGTTCAAATTCTATACCATTTTTTTCACAGAATAAACAACCATTATATTATTAGTAATTGCAATCATCGATCAAGGTGAAAAAGATTTGCATTTTGCTAGTGGGAATAGTTCATTTGTTTCTTTTTCCTTTTATTATGGTCATAAAACTCGCAATTGCCTTTACTTTCTCTTCATATAGATGGAAGAGCGAAAATGGGAAAAGCTAAACATGGATTGCTTGGTGAATGTGCTTGGGAGAGTGGGAAGGGAGTCCTTGCCATTTAATGTTTCCTTTGCAGGGATGGTAAATTTCCCATCCCCGTCAAGGCCCCACCTCGTTTATAACGGGAATGGGGATCCTTTTAGCTAAACGGGAATGGGGATGGGGACAAATTATGAATCTCCGCCGGGGCCGGGGTGGGGGATGGGGTAAACCCGTCCCGCCCCGATTAAGTGTGAAGTTACTAATATATCCTTACATATAATAATTTATTACTAAATTAGATTTATTATATAATAAAAAAAATTATGAGGCCGGGGGCGGGGACGGGAATAAGGTGTCAGGTGCAGGGGCGGGTATGGTGATTCTGGCAAAATTTTAAACAGAGATGGGGAGTGAAAAATGCATCGGGGATGGGGATGGGGATGGGAAATGGAATCCCCGCCCCATCCCGCCCCGTTGCCATCCCTATCTATTTGTATGCAAGTAACGGTACAAAGCAACTCTAAATCCTCTATGCTGGCAGCACCTTGATTTTCCTGAAATCTCAGACTCATTCGAATCAAGATTAGTGGATGCTTTGAGATCAGAGAGCTTTAGTGCATCTGGATTGATTAAGTTTGCCATCAACCGTAGTGGTGGATTAGCCGTTTCAGTAGTTGTTCCTTAGTATTGTCCGCAATGGGCATTTCATTGTTTCGTAGAAGGGTAAGTTATCCAAACTTCATTGTGATATATGTTTTTTTAAAGGATGTTTTCTGTTCCAATTTTATATACTCGAATGTTATTGGAATATGAGAAGTTAAAGATGAAGCATTAATACTATTTCTAGGAAACAAGAAAGAGATAAGAGAAAAATAAAATAGGATCTCAACCATATAGGTAATTCGTGAATAAGCATCTTCATTTTTAATTTTGCACAGTTGTATGATTTTTTGCTAAACGCTTTTAGCCAGAAGTTTTATAGCCACTTCTAATTATTTTGTGCTCTAAAATTGCATTTGGTATTGGAGGGTGTTCTCCCTCCTCCTGAGGATGTGATGAATCCCTTTGCCATGGATATTGGCTAAGCCTAGGGTTGAGTCTTGATGCTTCTTCGAGTTGAACAAGACCTTTGGCACATCCTCAACATAAAAGAACCTTGTTATTTTCATTTTCCTCTCTTAATTCCTTAAAGAAATGGAGCCTCAGTTTCCCAACTGTCCTCATTAAACCTGGAAGTTATCACCATACTTCAATTGATTTTCTACTCTTTTTGATATCAAGTGTTCTTTGCATCAAGTTGAACTACAGAGAAAAAGTTCTTTAATGGAATTTATTGAATGATTCTATTTAAAATAATTATCCCTTGTTCAGTTAGTATGTATCCCAAGTCCTTACAGTGCTTAGAAAGAAATTAATGATAAATCGTAGTTCTGAAAAAAAAAATTGAACTTATTTCACAGTGATTTTTTGTTGGCAGGTGCCCTGCGTTGAAATCTTTGACGTTGCCTATTAAGCTGGTGGATTACACTATATCCATTTCACGTTGGATAAGCAAGTGGAAAAATTTGCAGATGTTAAGGCTTGGAAGTTCCGGTTATATGCAAACAATCCTACCCGAAGTCAGCCTTCATTGCGAGAATTTTACTGATTTAGGTATTTCAAGTGGCTACATTGACGAAGATGAGGCATTGGAGCTAGTCACCTTACTTCCAGACATAAAGTATTTGGATCAAAGGGAGACATCTCTCGGACGGGAGGATCTTGTGATGATTTTGAAGGGCTGCAAAAAACTTGTGCATTTTGATGTTAGAGACAACAAAGGTTTCGAGTGTGATGATGAGATATTGAAGTTTGCTTCTCATATTGCTACCTTCATGTATGAGGGTTCAAGAGAAGAGGACTCCATTGATGATGACAGGAACGAGTTTCATGGCTTCGTATATGAGATAAAAGAAACGCTGGATGAGAACTGGAGTGAGGATGTCGTGACCATTGATGATTTATTGCCCTTGCCGTCCTCCTCCTCCGCCTCCTCCCAATGTATAAGGCTTTGATTAATGGTTGACTGGTTGGTTAATATAAGTGTTTGCCGTGTTTATTAATCTAAGAGTTGGTTTGAGAATATAAAGGCAACACTTAATTTGGGACGGTGGGAGTAATATATATATATAGTTTTGTCCATATCATTTCATCTATATATACATATTGCTTTGCATTTCTACTGGGTTGTGCTTCTGATTTCTCTTTGTTCATAATTTGATCCATATTTTTTTCATTAATTTTCAATTAAGATTTTCTTTATTTTCTGCTATTGAAAATATATGATTTTTAATCTGGGTTTTGATAATTTGTGATTGATGTTGTGTTTTTGCTTAATGTTAATTTCTTTGTTTTTAAGATTCTGTTTTAAGATATTGAATTTATAAACCAGGGTTTGTCTTAAGGTGATTATGGATAACTCTTTAGACTCCGTTCCGTTTGCACGCGCCAACTCACCTCCGGCGCCGTTAATTGAGAAAACTATAAAAAAAAATAAAAAAATTTGTAAGAAAAATAAAGAATTCAGATAAAAAAATAAAAAGAGATAATTATTTACTGAAAAAAATAAAAAAATAAAATAAAAACAAACTTCACACAACGGGTCAGTCGAACAACCTATCTATACAAGGGCATACAACCAAAATTAAAATTGACGGTTTAGTATCAACTAGGTTTCTATTGAGTGTTGCGAGGTGATATTGGGTGCGCCCATGCCCACCTATCATTTGGACTTGGAGCCCGTTTGGATTGTTGTTGGAATTAAATTAAAAAAAAAAAAGTGTTTTTATTAATAGACCTATCAAAAAAAATTACAGTTATAAACACTATTGTTCATAATTATATTATTTTTTATTTTAATATTTTTAAAATATTTTTATTGTTAATTTTAAATAATATCCTTTAATAGAATATTATAATATTTGGTAATAGCAATTTTATTAACAATTTGTTTTTATAAAAAATAAGAAGGACATAATTGACTAATAAAAAAGAGTAACTTAAAATATGCAATTTTAAAAGCTCTAAATTCTAACTTCATTCAAACGTTATACATAGCTAAATTCATTAAAAACTTTTTTTATGATTATTAAACACATAAATGTAATTTTTCAAAATAAAAGCACTTTTAAACAGTATATAAAGAGCTTGTTTGGGATTGTTTTTATTTTAAAAATTTGTGTTTAGATGTGTTTGGTAATTATTAAAAATGTTTTTAAAAGATTAGTTAGAGCTGAATTTAGTAATGTAACTCTTTTTCATTAGTCAATTATATCCTTATTTTTTATAAAGACAAATTACACTCATTTCTTAATAAAATTACTATTATCAAATACGATAAAGGATGTTATTGTAAAGTTAGCAATAGAAATATTAAAAAATATATTATTAAATAAATTAAAAATAATTTAATTATAAAAAATACTTATTATTATAATGTGTCATTAAACACCTATCATGTTATTTACTGATAATAATTTTTTAACAGCTCTATCGAAAAACTTTTTTTATTCCAACAGCAACTCCAAACTAACTCAAATAATCCCAAACAGGCTCCACCCAATGAAAATTTGACTACATTAATTTATATAATGAGCAAAATTAATTTTATAAATTCAAGTAGTCAATATATATATATATATATATATATATATTTAGGTATCTATTGCAACCTGTTAAACTTCTTACCTCTTTTCTAGGCTCGATCCGACACATATTGTAATTACACTGAACCATCCTAAAAGAATTGGACAAATTACACGCAAGATCTTTATACATTTATTATTTATTATTTTGTCATGCTCTAAATTTGTTTACCACGTTGAAAGGTGACTTTGAGGGTGAAAAAATGTTTGTGAAAATATAAATGTTATTAAGTACGCAAATCAAATATTTAATAAAATCTAACAAACCGTACATCAGAATAATTTCTTTCTTTTCATATGAAATCCAAGATAGTTTCACTTGTAACTTCTTTCACTCAATAATTATTATTATTATTATTATTATTATTTTCTTTAACAAACTAAGGGGGAGGACTCGAACAGGCACACTTTTTCAACTAAATCTGATAACTCACCTAATTCTATTATCCAAACCTGAAATGATAAGAAAAATATGCTAATACTGTTTGCACAAGAGCAATAAAACAAACATTTAAACACCATGCTTGAACAACATTCATGGAGGTTCACATCTCCTTCCTCCAATGTAGACATCAATGTAGTCTTGTCAGTAGGAAGTGAGAAATTATGCCGCGTTTGGAGAAATTTATTTGCCGACTATCAGAAAGTCAATCTCAAATTTTACACCATCAGATTTTAGTAAAACCTGAAGGGGATTCATGATCTAACGGTCTTAGAAGAATGGTGGGTCCCAAACCATAGAAAACGCCACTCAGAAAGAATATAAAGATTTTCTCCCGATGAATTGGGGACCATAGGAGAAGAGAGAATTTTCAACCAAAATACCACAATACAATATTATGTAAAACCCAAACAAAAAAAAAAAACACAACCCACAAGTATATGTGGCTCTAATTGTCTCTCGAAAACTAGAAACCAAAGGCTCTAAATTTCACACGAAACATCATCATATCTATACAAATAAAAACCATCACACACATCTATCACAAAATTTTATGAGGCAGAAAAAATAAGAGCCTTTGAATTTCTCTCAAGGGTGATAAGGAACAACTAGCACTTTGTGTTGTTGTTCAATGGCTACATCGATTTCTGCAACTGGGTTTAAAGGGGGTTTGTGTTCTTCATTCCATGGAAGTTGGGGAACATCCATGGTCGGTGAAGATCACACCATGCTGGCCAAGTCAGTTCCGAACATGGTTCGTGTCGGAAAACCGGTACGATCACAACCTATGATGAAGAACGTCAATGAAGGGAAGGGTCTCTTTGCTCCGGCGGTTGTTCTCACTCGGAACATTATCGGAAAGAAACGATTCAATCAGTTTAGAGGCAAAGCTATTGCTTTACACTCTCAGGTACTAGATCTACCAATTCTGCATCACTCTTAAACTCTATAAACAAAGTAGTTTTCAAAGTCATATGCTTATTTTTTCCGATTTCCATGAATTTAATTTCAGGTAATTAATGAATTCTGCAAGTCGATAGGAGCAGATGCAAAACAGAGACAAGGACTGATTCGATTAGCGAAAAAGAATGGGGAGAGACTTGGGTTTCTGGCATGATGAAAGATTGTGTATTTCTGCTTTGTGATTACCACAAGAGAGATGTTCATATTGTGGACTTACAGGGTAGAAAATGTATTCATTTAGATTTCTCCTTCAGAACTGGATTGTAAACTACCATGTATAACCTCTTTATCATATGTACTCAAAAAATCTTTCACCCAACTGTGATATTTTGTGTTTTCTATCATTGAAATAAATATCTGTAGAAATGGTTTATCAATTCATCATCATGCCTCCTTCGCATATGAATGGGTCATCCACATGAATTCTCTATCTCCATTCCTATCTAATAACTTCATCCGGGCAACATTAAGTTTGGTTGCCTTCTCCGGCTCTTACCTTCTAGTGAAATTGAACTTCCTCTTCTCACCGGCACCGGCACCGGCACCGGCGTATCTATAAGTCTTATCCAAGTATGCTCTCTCTTATTTTCCTGTAGACGAGTGTTACACGTAAATTTTTTCTTTAACACTTTCTTTGGTCACACCTAATTTTTTTCTTGAACACTTTCATTCGTCTTATTTTCCCGTAAATGAGTGCCATTCCTAATTTTTCTCTTACACTTTAATTCGTCATCCAGTGCTTCACAACTTAGATTCGGATTGATTTTTATTTTGTTTATGCAAAAAAGATTCAGTTGCTACAATATGATTGATATATCATATCTTGACTGGCTCTTTAGATACAGATAATGCGAAGTGATGAGTTGTACTACACCAAAATTCTCTTACAATTTCATTACTGACCCTATCTATTAGTTGCACCAAAATTTTGTTTCACACCTTCATTACTCTTCTAGTCACTCCAACGGTCCTATGTACTGGCTTGTGTGCATGATCCTAAATAGCAAAATTGGTTATTTTGAATAATCTTTCAGTTAAGTGTTATCATTATATTATCAAAGATCAAGTCTTTATTAAAATTACATTCCATATATTTCATTTCACTTAATTCGCAATCCTTTTGATTCTAGAGCATTTCTACGCATTTATAGTTTTATTGCCAAATTTTAATAACATTCTAGAGCATTTCTATGCATTTATAGTTTTATTGCCATAACATTCTAGAGCATTTCTACCTACACATTTATAGTTTTAATAACATTCTAGAGCATTTCTACACATTTATAATTTTAATAACATTCTAGAGCATTTCTACACATTTATAGTTTTCTTTAGAAGTTCTAGGATTCTATGTTAGAAGTTCCTAAAACTCAGAGAAATCCAATGTAACCGTTACAAGCATTCTATATAGAAATAAATAAGTTCCTACAGAGAAATCCAATATCAACCGCTACCATTCTATAGAGAATAATTGCAAAAATCCAGCAAGTAATGAAAAATTAATGCTCTCTATTGCGAATCAAGTGAAAGCAATTTCACAAACAGAATCTGGTATAACAGAAATCTTCCAGACATGATTTGAATGACATACAAAAAAACAAAACAAAAATAATCTCACATACAAAATACTATAGCTAGTAATTTGCAGCCAAATGAAAATATTGCACATCTGTAGTGTACTGAACAAAGTTTTCCAACTGAAAGTAGAAATGCGGTCAATGAAACTATTACGAGGCATTCACACGCTGTATCGGCCGCCTTTCGCTGATCTTTCCCTTCTCTGGTCATCCTGCATTAAACAAAGCAGTGAGAAATGCAGATAGATGTTACGTGCTTTAAAATGACATGTCATTACAAATCTGGGATTTACATGAAAGCTGTAAGTGATCTTATCAGTGGCGTCAATGATTTCCTTCCACTTCCTCCCAATGCCCATCTATAAAACAAGAGTTAAATCAACATTGCTCAGTCAGATGCCCTGTTAAGGGTTTTAAATGAGGAAGTTCCACAATAAAATGCATATGCCATTTGGAAAGGAAGACACAACTTCGAAGAAGAAAAAAAGGTAAAACTGTGGGTGCAATATGATTATATGACGGTGGCTGGCCAGCATGGCATGATTTATTACAAAGAACACCAAAATGTGATCAAGCAACTAAAGAACTAATGAAACATTAGCAAATTTTCACCAAGATGTATCTTTCTATGTTCATTAACGTGGCTTTGGTAGGGGATATACCCACCAAATTACACCTGTTATTATGAAGTAAAGAACAAAAAGTAACAGTCTATTTATGCTACCAAGAAGAACGAGTCCAACTTGTATTCTATGGTATTATCTCATCCACTATACATACTAAAAGGCTTTACCAAGGGGAGCTGAATTGAGAAACATTACAGGTAACAGAAGTGAGAATTGTGATTCACTAATACCATCAGAAATGATTGCAAGAAGTGATTTGGAATCAGAATTTTTTTTTTGTAAGTACCCTCACCGTAAAGTTACAATAAAGCTGAAACTGGTCATTATAAAAGTTGTACAGTAACAAAATGTGGACTTTTGAAAATAATTGAACTTAACTTGTAAGAAACTTGTGAACTAAAATTGAAAAAACAGGCTAAAGAAAAAACAGAAAATTAAAAGATCATAGGAAGCAGGTTCTGTTCCCAAGCATCTACGAAGAGTTTTGCCAAGTTTTCACAACAATTCTCATTGATTCTGTTAAAAGTTCTAACCCAGCTTCCAGAATGAGTTTCCAGGAGCAATACAAAGATTGCAACTCCACATGTTTGTTCTGCACATCAATCGCGAAATGAAGATGCATGATGGCAATGTACCAAATATCCTATTTGCGAAGGCATATTGAAGAAGTTTCACCTTGAAGAGAAATAAGCAGGGTAACAACTACGTCTGTACTTATCAAAAAAAAAAAAAAAAAAACTACTACTACATATGTACTGATTATCAGCACAAAGCACTTTATTATGTAGTCTATTTGAGCAAATACATTTTCAGAGACTACCTAATCATCAAAATTCTAAAGGCCGCAGGATTTCATTGATTCTTGAAAAGCTTATCAAAGATACACTAGTGGTCATGGACGTATTTCTCGATATAGATGTACAACAGCAGAGAATTAAAAGACTATTATTTACATTATTAGAAAGAGGGCGGTTAGAAGCATGAAAAACAATGACGTTCACTCATGCAATCAAAATGCATCAAAGAGAGATACAACTACACAAAGAGTGAAGACTGCAAAACCATGCATGCACTGAATAAAAAGAGTAACTAATTGATAGTTGACTTCCATAATTGAAAAACATTTGACTGACTAACAAATTTATAACAATAATCAATTCAACACATTGTTTGTGGTGATCTCAAAGAAATTCTTAAATGAAATTTAAACATTAAAAAAAATTCCCAAATGGCAAAGATATGGAGCATAATGGCAGGTGAATGATTTGACTGACTTGGAACATAGATTAATTGAATAAACATTTCATAAAGGTATATAAATATCCGTCTATTCTTTACATTTATATGACTGGTAATCATCCGGTGAGTTTTGAAAAAAGAGTTCCTGCAGTTTTTCTCTGAAAACGATCTATAACCCTATTATCTCCTCTTTTTGGGAGGGGGTGCAAAGAGGTGTTGACAATATCTTGCTGGTAGTGTCTTGCAACTAACTACAGATTATGTACATATCTTAATGTCATACCACAATATTACAAGATTCACAGTTTTTCAAGACACAATTCTCAAACAGCAAAGCAGAAGTGCTGGTAATAAGTGAACTGAAGGGAATATGATCAAAATTTTCAATAAAATATTACATTATGTACAATAATTTTATCACGCACAACTTCTTTTCTTTGGTAAAGGAAATTTTCAGGCACAACTTCCCTTTGTGACTTAAAGGGCAGGGGGAAGAAATTTACAAATATGGCAGGTTCGTAAACAATTCTCATTGCTATCAAATGCCGTACTTATAAACCAGAACCAGACCACACAGCTGAACCATTCAAATAGTAAGGTAGAGCATGTTTCAAATGGGATAATAGCAAGTCTTGAAATCACTCACCTTTCCATATAAGCCCCCAAATTATTGAAAAAACAAAATAAAATCCCTCTCCATAGCCTTGATAAATTGACGCCTGACTATAAGGATGATACTAATATGGAGCATGAATTTTCTAAAATGCTCTCATAGATTTTTCTGATTCTTAATCTTTTCTATTTCCCATTCCTTTTTTTAAAAGTAAAAAACATTCAAGTGTTGAATATTTTCATGAAATCACAACATTCTTTTGTTTAATTATAACCATATGATAAGTAATCCAACCAATTACATTTTTTAGTTCAACTTTTTGTCTGGAAGGTCCTACTATCCAATTTAATTATTGAGAAAAAAAGGAAACCAGAAAATAGACCAGTAAGAATGGTATGATCCAATAGATGGAGAAGTATAAGAAATAAGGAAAAGGAGGAGTAGGATTACTCATACCAATGCAAAAAGTTAAGAGGAAATAGACTCAAAAGGAAAAGGAGAGGAACCTTATTGCTCCAACCCCACTAAATGCAGTACTTACAAATTTGGCAGGTTCTGCTCTTTATTGTTATAAAAGATTTCCTGCTTTAACCATTCAACTCTTAAAACTAAAAATTCAAAGTCCTTTTTTATTGGGTACCAAGGGTATAGAAGATAAGTTACTTTTTTTCCCCGGGGGGTGGGGGGGGTGGGGTTGTAGGATTTCTCACATGCATGAATTCCCTTGTATAGTTCAAAAGCAATCTTACGACTGAAATCATAACTTTCACAATTACTAGAAATAACCACATTATTTTCCATGCTATCCACAATATCTCATTACAGAAGTACATTTCACATGATTCACACCCAACCAAATCTGTCTCTCTCAATATTTTTCTTTACGAGGATATGCTAAAATGAACAATTTTACTCCGTATAAATTGTTATTCCATGCAGTTCATTATCATCACAGTGGACACTTTGATAGTTATAGTATGAAACTTAATCTCGGATCACTTTCTTCTCTCAAAATACTACTTTACTCTTCCAGGTTTCAGTGATACAATGGCCCAATCATTGCCTTCTTTTGAATAAGCTAAAAGATCCTCAAACCACCTTGGAAACCGAATTTCTAGTCAAGAGAAGAGCCTAGACTTCAAAGGAACTTAAGATATCTTTATCCCCATACACCCCACTATTGGCTTCATATTTTAGCTATTATTTTTCAAATTCCACCTCAAGTACAAGGAGCCCTCATCAAAATCTTCTCAATATTCCTTTTTCTTTTTCTTTTCTTTTCCTATTGATAGGTTAAAGGTAGGATTTTATTTTATTTTGCAAAACTTGATTGGGAAATCAATGATTTTTTTCTATATAAATTAAAGATCATCATCCACCCTGAAAACCAAATTTCTAGTCTTCTAGTCAAGAGAAAAGAGCCTAGACTTCAAAGGAACCTAAGAGTAACTTTATGATCTTTATCCCCATGTACCCCACTTTTTTGGCTTCACCATTTTAACTAATTTTTTTCTTTTTCCAACCAAGTCCAAGGAGCCCTCTTCAAAATCTACTCAATTTTCCTTTTTCTTTTTTCCTCTCTATTATTAGGTTAAAGATACAATCTTCTTGCATTATTATGCAAAACTTCTGACCATGTTTTTAGGCAAATTCTCTCTCTCATAAGTTTCTACATAGATAATATCACAAAATTTTTCTGAGTTATATATAAGGCTGAAACTTAAATTTAAAATTTGCAGTTAGAACCTTGTAAACAACCAGCAACAAAAAATTCAAAATACTAATTTTAAACCGGAAAAAAATTGTAGAAAATATTCAAAAGAGGACCCTAAATTCTACCTAATATGTTATGTATAGACTCCAAAAAGGGCTACAAAGTAGAGGTACTAACAGATATTGCATGGCATCATATAGAGGTACAGGAGCAATTAACACCAATTTAACCAAGAAAGGAATTTGTATTCGGAACAGATTTTAAATAAGAGTAAAACCTGGGCAGCCTCATTGGATGCTGTCTTAGTCCATAGTGCAAGTTTGTCCTGCCTTTGTCGCACACTTGCAACCACACCACAAATCTCATCAGATTCATCAAATTGCTCCCCAATCAAAGCCATCAACTACCCGATAAATCCATTGATACCAAAAAAATTACAATTAGTACTATGCTGGAAAAATAATAATAATATTAAATAAACAGCTCCTCGTTTATACCAGATCAAATCTCTACACACACATAATCACACTAAGTTACCAACACAAACATGAATACTGAAAGGGAAATATATTTACAGTTTCAAGCCACATGGTATCAAGGCTAGCCTTTCTGCTGCTGGTAATAGACCACTTGCCTCCATTCGCACACTCAGGATCTTCCCATTTGGGCTCAATCCCAGCTCTGAATAGATGAAAATCAGCATTTGCAGGCAACTTGCTGGGCTTAAATATCTGATCATACAAACTGCCAGAAGATTCACAACTTTAAATTGCTTACATTATTTATTTAAATTATATTAAAGACATATAATGCCCACACAAACAGAGCAAGTATTCAGAATATAGCTCAATTTATATATATACACATAAATAAAATAAAATAAAAATCCGATCTTGAAATTGTTTCTCTTTACTGAGAGGAAAACCAAGAAACTGTCTATCATGAAAAATGGAGAAAATCAACTAAGTAATCAAAAAATGGATAACAAAGCACATTCAAACGTATAACTATTCAATCCTTATAAAATATATATATATATATATATATATATATATATATATATGTAACTACTCAAGAATTTTTATTTTTATTCTGGACGGGAAAATAATTATTCAGAAACCAAATCATTATAATCAATAACATTAGACAAAGGAACACACAATAACATACAATCAAAAGATGATAATTCTATATACGAATCTATAGATAAATCTAAAATATGACCAGATCAAAGAGTATAAAACAAAATAGCATACACCCAGTTACATGTGTGTGTATAGACAAATTTATACAGAAAGAATGTAAATTAAATCGATTCATACCACCAAAATTCTTCGACGGTGTCGAAGGTATAGGCCTTGCGAAGGGAGGAACCCCAAGCGGCGCCTTGTTTGGGCTTCGACTGGTTGTCGAACCAAAACGTCCACTTCCTCTCCAAGCGATGCGGCTGCTTTGCTGCCACCGTCGTCGTCTCCGCCGCCTCTGTCGATGCCGCCGCTACGGCTGCGTCCACCGTTGCGTCACTCGCCATTCTTTTTTTCTCTCTCTCTCTCTCTAAAATTCTCTCTCTAAACTTGATTTGTTAAGCAATATCAAGTTTTGAGCCAAGAAATACAGAGGCAACCACAATTTGTGCTAAGAAAAGGGACCATGATACTTATGGGCCGGGTGGTTTTTTGTATAAACTTGGCCCAGGGACTTAAAAGTCTAGATTCTCGAAACTTTTTCATGGGCAGAAACACTAAGCCCAATAAAGTGAGACTTTGTGTTAGATGTTCTTCGCCCACTTTGATCCCAGTGAAAAAGAACTTGGAACATATATAAAAAGGTATATAACACTGACTAATAATTTAAGTTTTATTTTTAGATCGGGGAGTAAGCGTCCAACCAGTTATACTGGGGTTGTAAGTGTAGAAAAAATATTACCAAGAATTTTTGCAGGTTTGAGAAAAGAGTTTAAAATCTACAAAATCTCAAATCCGTCCCGATTAATAATAAATATATAAATAAATATTCTTGTATTAGCTATATTTTTTTTAACTTCATTTTGTATTTCTTACGATAATTTTAAATTATAACAATATTTTTATTATTATGATAGTTAAATATTTAAGAATATTAAAAAGTATTTACAAAATTTATCTTGTATTTGTTCAAATTTGACTTATTTTTCTTATTAAATATATATATACCAAGGCACCCCAAGCCCACCTTGACTCCAATACAAAGGTCATTCGGGTTTGACAAAAGATTTGTATTTGTAAGATAGACTTGAAAAAAAGGGTGCCCATTGACATTCTACAAAAATACGTGTCAAGCTAAAAAATAATAGGGTAAATTACAGAGACTTCACATATGGTTTGCCATAATTACAGGAATCTCCCTTCTGGTTTGAGAAATTACATGGACTTCCTTTAAAAATAAAACTAACCTACACGAACCTCCCTTCTAGTGACGAACCGTCAAATGGACTAACGTATCTGTTTAATTTATTAAAATACCCTCAAATTATTATAATTTATGATTGAACTACCCATATTCTTTTAAATATACACACACTTCAACTAAAGGTAAATAAGGAATTTCAATGTATTAAGTACATGACGTCAACACAATTCGGTCATTGACTGACGTTGACTTTAACAGAAAGAGGTGCAGGTTAGTTTTATTTTTAAAGGAGATCCGTGTAATTTACTCAAAATAATAATAATAGTAATAACAAAATAAATAAAGCTAGAAAATTTTATAGGGTCTTACAAGCACGACAATGGAAATGCTAATAAATGGTCATATATTTTTAGACAATTCATTCTTTGACGTCAACCATAAACAATTTGCTTATGGGACCCAATAATAACACTTATAGAAACAATGTACAGTAGCAGATTCCAAAAACATAATGCACCACCAGTCAATGGTTCCTCTAATATTAGGAATTGCGTACATATTTAGAACTACTCGTAGCAACCAACCACGACCATCATGCTAAAAATTCTCCTCCCAAATCAATCATATCAACCAATTAGGGAAGTCCATACCTTCAAGGCATTTCAAGCTTGAACTTTTCCGCCAATTTTAAACCATAAGTAGACATCCTTTATCAACCACTATTAACTTACATTTTCAAATTTCTGTTAAAGATTTCCTGAAATACCAATGGAAATTTCTACATTATAATGAAAGAAGTATGAATGCCAAATATTTGTTGTATGCATTTACATCACCCTCAACTCAGGAACTGAAATACAAGCATTTTGTCTACTGAGATGTTGCAAATGAATTCCCTCTCGCCATTTACATCATTCTAGATACAAGAATTGAATTTCAAGTAGTGGTGATTACGAATCGGAGTAGACATATAAAAACTTAGGAAGGCTTAATCCGATCCGATCAGTTAAATATCGAATTGATTTTATAAATTGGGCTTTTTTCAAACAACCCAATATTATTAATTTTTAACCTATGTGGCCCAATAAATGATTTTTCAATTTATCAACATTAGTTTAATTAACTTAGCGTGGCACTTCCTAAAAAAAAAAAAAAAAAAATCTCTGACTCTTCCTTGCAACTAGAAGCAATAATGTTAGGGGTTATAGGTTGTCTGCTAAGTGGTAACAACTGAACTATGATTGATAGCCCCACTCAGTTGTAGAAAATTTGTGCAACGCAAAATCTGTCCATATGATTAGGGGTGGAAACTAGTGGAGAATTTCAAGTCATTTTCCTTGTCTTCTCGAAGAGCCCTGTCTAGAATTTCTCTATGAGGTGCTGGTTTATTGTTGTATATGTGGATATTGAAATATAAATACTTTTGTAACCAAATAAAAATAAAAATAAATAAAAAATCGTGGAATCGAATTGAACCAAATCGGTTTTTCACGATTTGGTTTGGTTTGGTTCTTTTGGTTAAATGGTTCGGTTTGGTTCTAAATTTTATGAAACCGTTATAACTTATAAGTAGTTTGATTTCAAAAAACTCTTAAACTGGTCCAATTCAAACCGTGTGCATCCCCATATGCAAGCCCCTACTTTGTCTTGTTGCCATAGAAGACAAGTCCTCACATATTCCACTGTATCGTCTTGCATCTTGAGCCACAAGTCAACTAGGAGAGCCAATGTGTGTTTCATGCTAGGCCAGCCCACTTCATGTCATGACACTCACATTGTTGCCAGTAATTCTATCAACTAGACTGCTAGATAATATTGCTATGTAATGTCCTTAGAAACAAGCTGTCAACTAGGAGAGCCAAAGTGTGTTACATAGGGCAGCCCACTACATCTCATGACACTTCTTCATAATGTCCCAAACCAACTAGGCTATTAGATAACAAATAGAGTACTAGGTCACCAGCCCGAGAGTATTACGAGTTTTATAGGTTCTTGTGCTCGGATCCGAATGGAGATAGTTAGCTTGCTTTTGATAAAAGGACAAGTCCGCCCCCATTACATGGTTTATACGAGAGTTCAATATTAGTTGTCCAACAACAACTTTAGTAGTATAACTTTGTAAAGGAACAATGCAAGTCCCACATTTAAAATGAGTACTTTTATGTTTAAATATGTATATTTAACAAGATTTTAGAAAACTTAAAATAACAATTATGAAAATATATCATTTAGACTTTTCAAATGGAGCTTACTTTCAAGCCTAATTTAGGACATTCAAAAAAAACAAAGATAGGAACCTTAAAAGGGACAAGGATATTACATGGTCTCAAGACTATTGATCCAAACCAATCACTAGTTCACACATCAAAAAATACATTTGCTTGTGTGTCAGCTAGTAATTAGACAAGGACCAATGGTCAAGGCCACGTAATAATTTTTCAAGAAAATTACAATAAAAATGTAGGATCCTACATTGAATCAAGACCTGTTAATATCTTTTTTTTTTTTCTTTTTTTTTTTTTAATAAGAAGGGGAGCGGAACCCAAAGAAACAAAAGGGCCAAAGGACGCCTTAAACCTTCAAAGAGAAATAAGATTTTATTAAAAACGCTCAAAAGGAGAGCGGAGCCCAAAGAAACAAAAGGGTCAAAGGGCACCTTAGACCTTCAAAGAGGCAAAAAAACAATAATCTCCTCCATAGATCTATAATCTCTCCCTGAAACTTAACAAAAAAGAGTAGAAATAATAGAAAACTTAAACATAGAAACAGACTTCTTTTTTCCATCAAAATATCTCATATTTCTCTCTAACCAAATACACCACTAAATACAAAGAGACGTAGCCTACCAAACATCCTAAATGAGAGCCCCAACAAAGACGCCTCTCCAAACCTCAATCAACCCTCTAGAGGAACAAGGCATAGCCTAATGGACCCCAAATAATCCAAGCATCAAATCCCAGCAGTCTCTGGCCATGCTACAATGTAAAAGGAGGTGATCAACTGTCTTCTCATCACACAAGCACATATAACAATGATTGACCACAACCTGATTCCTCCTCCTCAAATTATCCTGGGTTAAAATCTTACCCAGGATGGAAGTCTAAACAAAAAAGGCAACCTTGAGGGGAGCCTTAGAACGCCAAATAGACTTCCAGGGGAAAGAGTCTCCGGGAACAATCGAAGGCACCTGAAAAAGGGCCTAACCTCGAAACGACCCGGCGAGTTAGGAACCCAGAACCAACAATCCGACTCCCCAAAAGTGATCACCTAGCTATACAGAAGCTCCAAAAAACGAGAAACATCCTCTATCTCCCAATCTTGAAAGTGCCTCTTGAACTGAACATCCCAAGTCAATCTCCCGTTACCAAGGTGATAACAGTCAACCACCATGGCCTGTCGGTGAGAAGCAATCCTATAAAGCTGTGGGAAAGCGAGAGCAAGAAGAAGCTCCCCACACCAAAGATCCTTCCAAAAACTGATCCTTCTACCATCCTAAAACTGATCCTTCTACCATCCTGTTATTCAACAAATATCTAACAAAATAATCCAACCTCACAAAAACTGAAAATATAGAATATAATTTTTTGTCCCAAGTCATTGACCATAAAATCCCCATCAACATCTGTCAAAACGTATTTTTTACATCTCAGTCTAAATCATGATTTAAAGTTTGTAGCTCTTAGAAAATGGCATTGGCTGCGCTTGCAATCCTTGGCCACAGATCAGCACACTCCTTCCCAATTGGACCAGTAATGGCGGATCCTAAAACCAACATAAAAGCAATTAGTAAGATAAACTGAGAAATTGGTTTAAAAAAAAAGAGAGGATAAACCGAGAAAGAAAGCAACCCATAAGAGGAAGAAAAAAAAAGTTCCATGAACTATATGAATGACTAAAACCAAAAACCAGAACTGTAACATAACTGTGAAACAAAAGAGCATGACTCAACAGGCATCCGGATGGTCACCAATGTGAAACACCAGCCAATATATGAAATTGAACATGATGGATAAAAAAAAAAAATGTAGGGGGGAAGAGGGAACCTCGGGACAATTTAATGACCACACAGCTTAAATATACAAATTACCATCAAGAAAACCCGGGACAAAAGTAGTGTATGGGTATGCCTTATGCTGATCAATGCAAAACACGACCAAATGGATGAGAAAGAAATCAAATAAATTGGAAAGAATATCGTTAAGACAAGCTACAAGGGAATCCTGAAAGAAAAGTGCAAGGTTTTCGCCCATAACATCATCTCCTACCCAACCTCATAAAAACAAATATGCAAACCGACATACATATGACATGGTGACCCCATCCCCGTGTGACCGTGTCCCAAATTTCGGGTTTGCCAGGTCAAGATATTCCATGGCTATCAAAAGCATATCAGGAACAACAGTTCTTATCTGCTTAACATTTCACCATACATTTCATTTCTCCCTTTGGATTCACGATGACACCAGCACTATCTGCAAAATGCAAGAATTTACAGATGAAGCAACATGAAAAACATCTTCAGTCAATGCATAAAGGGGAAATAAAATCAATTACTCACGAACCACCATCAAGCAATCAAAATATACAACGCAAAGCAAAATGACAATTTTGGCGAATAAATTATCACGATCCTCTCTACCGGTCACAATTCATTCTATCAAATGCTATTTTAAAGCTGAACAAATAAACAGTCGGAAAAAAATGATATGACAACTGCAATAGTGAACATCCTATTTAAAACTGGCTTTTTTATTCAGCATATTCTCCAAACAGTGTATGAATACATCAAAGAAATGCAGATAGCAACATAGAATTGAAGTTACCGAATCTAGAATACAATGTCAAACCCCATTAAAGTATCTACTAAGAATCCTCACTATGATTTCAAAAGGCCAACTTGGTGTGTGTCCCCCTCTTCAAAGCTTTAACAATTTACTGAGCGTATTCCACCTAAATGCATGGAACAAAAACAAAGTGAATGGAGGTATGGTAAATGACAACAAACCGGATTTCATATGCTTACACTAGATTACAACAATTATAACTTTTAATGACAAAACAAAGCATACAAGGTTACAACAATTATAGTTTCTTACACTAGGTTACAACAATTATAGCTCTTAATGACAAAACAAAGCACTGCACACAAGGTTACAACAATTATAGTTCAATACACTGCACACACCCTGTGAATACATTATACATCCGAATCCCATCTTGAGGGATTTTAAGTGTCCAAAAACCCTTTTCTATCATATTAGAATGTTATTTTCTTTTTAAGTGAAGGATTTATCTATGTCAAACAGACACGCCCAGTTGCCCATTTACAAAAATTAAAGCTTTACTTCAAACAAGACTGCAATTCAACAATGAATTATCAAAATTTCTACATCAACAAGAAAGGGAAAAAAAAAAAAGGGAAAAAGAAATACAACAATGATTTAAATTAGTGTCTTACATATATAACATTACATCAAGCCTCCACGTATATAGAACTTAACTAAGTTCCAACTCATCTCAATCCCATAACATATGGAAACAACAACAATGGCCACACCGATAAAAGTTAGGTAACAATACAGGTTTACTAAATGGCAACAAAATCAAAGTCAACATATAACATCAAGTTAAAACAACAAGAGCTCACAATGACAATAACATAAGGCAAATCTATAAATGAACTCCATCACACATGTCAGACCATCCAACATATCAATACTGTTTCGGAGTTCAGAAAATTAGAGAACAAGAAGTACTGTGTTATCTATAACAATGGTGTTGATTAATCTTATTTGGAAGTTGATGTTATCTAAGTAGTTTGGGTTTTAAGCTTGGTATTGTATTCCTGCTTGGACCATCTCTCTTAGAACATAAGATGCTGGAATTGTTTTATCGGATTGTGGCAACTGGAGTCAATAAAATTGCAAGGCAAACTGATAGCCAATAATAAGGCGCAATAACATATCAGAATTTACAGTACCAGCTTCTATATCTTCTTTTATAATACTTAATGATGTTATGATATGTATCCTTCTGACTCTGCTATATGTAACACGCCCTCCCCAGAAAAAAAACAGGAAAATAAAATATATATATATATATATATATATATATATATATATATATATATATATATATATATCATTCATATAAACATCTAGCCACAAGAATAATAGCTCTCAATCAATAACTAACCGTGCACTAGTATCCAGATCAATTAAGTGATCTGCGGGGTGATAGCAATTGATCTTGATAATTGGCAATTTAGCAGACATTAAACTACCAATAAAAGTTTTACAAATCCACATACTTTATCAAACGATAATGTGAAGCAGACCTAGGGCTTGGCAAGGATAGGGAGGATGAGCCCTAGTAACATTGGTATAAAATTTGTTCGACAATAGATCAAAATTCTATTCTAGTGTGAAAAATGTACAGGAATTTACATCAGACAAGCACTCAAATAACATATAAGAGCTATCTTTGGTCTTTTTGGAGTATATCCTTTTCCAAGAGCAGGAACCTAAGTCAACCATACATAAGAAGAAAAAAAAAAAGAGGCCACAATGTTATCTTACTTGTGACTTTGATCAAGTTTCAACGTAAAACAATATTCTTTTTCCATTTCAAAATACAACAAAAGAAGGAAAGACGAACCGGTAAAACACATTGGAAGGGCCCATACGAGAAAATAGCAAACAAAATGGAGAAATAACAAAATCAAAATACTAAATTTTTGGGGTAAATTAAAAAAATATATATCAAAATTATATCATCAAAAAATAATCAAAATACTAATGGCAACCCACAAATAAGAGTGAAAACCCCAGATAAGAGAAACTGTTACTAACCCTTCCCCGAGACGCTAACATAACCACAAGAGCACAGAAGCCAAATTAAGCACACACCACAACACACACACACATATAGTCACTCACATACATAAACCAAAGTTATAGAGAGAGAAAGAGAAAGAAACAGAGCTTACCTTACCAGAATAAATGACGAAACTTCATACTGGTTAGGTCTTACATGGGTGCTATTCGAATTTGAAGCAAGACACAGCCCACCGAGGACTTTGGAGGAGTTGCAAAGAGAGCGGTCCATCATAAGCTTCTGGTGCGTCTCAATATGACAGCCTGACACGTGGAAATATAGCAGGGTACGGTGGGAAAGTAAAAAAAAACAAGGGATTTTAGTAAAAGCAGATGCTGGGATCGAGGGCAAAAAGGTCAAGAAAAAAACTTGGACCATTTCTCGATTTGTGCGTGTCATCCTTGCGCAGGGGCCTAGGAATAGCATGAGAAAACCATTAGTTAGCTCCCAAAGGAGAACAACAAACACGAGCAAGAAAACCATAAGTTAGCACCTACAGGAGAACAAACATGAGCAATAGTTTAGGTGGTATTGGGTGATTTTACAAAATATAAAGTCTGAAAACAAGGGTTGATAAATCGCCAGCCCATCCTTTATTGGCAGGTGATAAAAAAGATTCAGATGCACACTCGCCCATTTACTAAATTAAAGTGCAATGTCAATAATGAATTTGTAACAATTCCTAAATTAACATCATCATCTCTAGATTTAAATCTCAGGAGTTAAATAACAAACTATAAAACTTCATCCAAGCAGCAGTTAGTTTGAGGCATGTAATCAAATACCTAACATAGATAAATAGATTCACCTTATGTTTTCTCCTGCTTTCACCTAATCCCAGCAATTGCCATGCCAAGGGCTGCAAAATTGAGCTGTTTTGTTCATAAACAGCTCAAGCTCAGCTCATCACAAGATTAACCTTAAGTTCATTTATTAAGTAAATGAACCAAAATCGAGTCTATACTATATGCTCACTTATTAAATGAGCCGTGGTAGGGTCAGCTCAAGAAAACTCTTCAACATGTGCTTAATTAGGTTTCTTGCTAATTATGAAACGTATTTTACATATCAATCTACAGCATCAGCTTCTATTTCTTCTTTTATAATCCTTAATGATTTTATGATATGTATCCTCTTAACTCTGATATCTTCAACACCCCTTCCCAGCAAAAATAGAAAAATAAAAAAAGCTCATCCATGCTTAACTAAACAGCTTTCTGTGTAAAAATAAAAAATAAAAAAAAAAAATCATTTATATAACTAGCCACAACAATTATAGCTCTCAATCAATCATTAACTAACCGTGCACTAGCATGCAGTGCAATCAAGTGATCTGTGGGGTGATAGCAATTGATCTTGTTAATTAGCAATTTAGCAGACATTGAACTACAAATAAAAGTTTTACAAATCCACATACTTTATCAAATAATAATGCGAATGTGACCTAGGTTTTTTATTTATTTTTCCTTTCAACAAGGCAAAAGAGAAACTACAGAATAGAGCCAACAGGGCTCAAAACAGAAGAGGCATCGGCCTCAATAGCTTGAACAAGTCACGAGGGCCAAACGGACCAATGAAGGCCCAAGCTTTTGGCTACGAGCCCATTTACCTAATTGGTGCGCAATTCCATTACAAGATCTCGGTGTCCAAGCCAGCGAAAGCCCACTGGTAGAAGCACAAAGAGAGCGAATATCCTCCATGACCAAAGCTGAAACAACAGAAGAAGGTGTGAGGTTGATAACGTTCAGACAGTCCCCCCAACACCACAGAGCTATAGCCCCACTGACTAAGAAAATGGATGCCAGTTCAGAGAACAAAAGCCTCCGCTACTTCCGGGTTAGAAATTCCCCTGAAAAACAGGGTCGCAATGTGAATAGGACACCCTTTGTCATCTCAAAGAATAACACCACCTCCAACTTCCTTAGAAGCTCTGTACAAAGCTGCATCGAAGTTAAATTTGAGAATACCCACATGAGGAGGGCATCACCTAGTAGGTTTCAGAGATGAATGAACTGGTGCGGCGAGCCGAATATATTGGTTGCAGGTCTCCAAAAACTCCATTTGATTGCTCAAAGCTCTATCCAAAATATCAGGAGGTCCCCATTGGATATTGTTGAAATTCCAATCATTTCTAGCCTTCCAAATCTGCCAACTTATGAATGAAGCTAGGCTCAAGTGCTCTACTGGATTGGGAGTAGAGTAACAAATCTCAGTACAAGGTGCCATTGTTGATTCCATCAGTTGGATGGACCTCGTGGAGGAAAAGTCCAATGTAAATGGGTTAATTTTCCACACCATTTGAAAGGATGGACATAAGAACAGAAGATACAAGATTGATTCGTCCTCCACACCACACACCCTGCATTTAGGATCAAGGACTACCTTTCGAGATTTCGGATTGAGCATGGTTGGAAGTTTCTCATGAGCACACTGCCAAAGGAAGAAATTAATTTTCCTAAGAGAGTTGATGGACCAAATAGCTTTCCATGAGGGCTTGAACACCTGAATATGACTGCTTTCAATAGGCTCAGTTTTACAAGGAATAGGATGGTTCAACAGGCTCAGGTTTAAAGGGAGATAAGCCATAGTAACCAGTAACATTGGGACACGTGATAAAATTTGTTTCAAAATATATCAAATTCTATTATACTGCAAAAAAAATAAAAAAAATAAAAAATAAAAAAATTCAATAACAAGAGCTGGAAATGGAAAGACGACAATGTGCAGGAATTTACATCAGACAAGCACTACATAAGTATATATGAGGTACCTTAGGTCTTTTTGGAGTAAATCCTCTATCAGGATCCAAAACCTAAGTCAACCATAGATGCCAAGGAAGATATTCCCTTTGAAAAAGGGTTAGCTTAGTGCATGAGGATTCCGTCATTGCGGGGCTTGGGGAGGGTGACGGAAAAAAAAAAAAAAAAAAATGGGCCTCGTAGTGAGCAAGAACATAGTACTCAATCCCCACCTTCCCAAAGAGTTGGAAAGCATTAGCCATTGAATTCCGTACCCAAGGAAACAATTTGTTGTGAACGGCAACTAAAGCATAAAATATGATGATTTGACTAAACATTGATAGAGCTAGGTAAAAAGGTTAGAAAAAAACAACAAACGAATTGGTAAACTTGTAGTTGAACATTGGAAAAACTGTTTTAAATGATTCAAAATGTGTTTGCAGAACTAAAATGCTTCTCTTAGTTTTAATTTGTAATTTTAGAGACTTACTACATTTTCCACCTAATGGTGCTACTCAATTTGGGATAGGATTAGTGTCCATCACATCACACCCAATCAAGGGAGAAAAACACAGAATTATACAAACAATCACGCATACATTCACAGATAAAAAGAAGGGATGGCAAAGCAAAATTGAGAAAAATAAAAGAATACAAATAGAAAAAACAACCAAAGCCAAAACAAATATATGTATACATTAACCGCAATTAAAGAGGATTAGTGCCCTTTGGAATGTTTCAATAATACCCAGAAAGGACACCAGCGTGTTTCAAGTCTCTCATATATTAAGTCCAAAGACTTTGTTTATAAAACCGATGTGGGACTATTTCTGTTATATGCGCAATTGTCATATCCAAGCCAATTTAGCTGTACTAACTTTCAACACTTGATCTATGGATTTGCGACTCCCCAGTTAATGAGATGCAACATATCGTAGCTTTGGACTATATATATATATTAATATATGTCACGTATGGACCTAAATGACATAAAACGACAACGAGAGCGAAATCGAATTCGAGAGTTAGAACATGAGAGTGACATAATTAAGTTATAAGTAGAGAGAATTTGAATGATAATACGCACAAAGTGTGAGAGCAAAAGCACGCTCGGAGTATGAGAGCAATACCTGTTGAAAAGAATTGTGTGACTTACGTATAGACGCTTTTAATGCGATAAAACTAGTACACCTTTTATTTTGTTTTTATCTAAATAACTTTGTACACCCTTTTGAGTACTTTGTAAACTGCAAAAACATTAATAGAACACCTTAATTTTTCTCAAATGAAGTTAACCCCGTGATGGGGTAAGAAGCAAGTTTATAGAAATTTTGAAACTTAAGATTAATGTAAAATTCAACTAATAATTTTGGAAATGGCAAATTTTTTAATATTATTCCATATAACTAGAAACCACTATGAACAAATAATGTCGTAGAAAGAAATTAGATTAATTGGAAATGGCTCTCACTTTACAATTAGAAGGTGATAGGAAAAGTTCATAACTTGAAACAAACATAACTAATTACGTGTTTTGAAGATAATTCTAAATAATTTTTTGAAAATTCTCTGGTCACAAATGCTATCATTGTATATTAAGTATGTTCGGGAAATAATTGGCATTTATGGACATCTGCTAATCACCACGAAATATTTTGATGAAATATATCACAACTAATTTAATTCCCTTGTCATAAAATGAAATTTGTAAATTTAATGCCCTTGTCAAAACAGTAAATTTAATTCCCTTTAGGCTTCTGTGTAATTATTAAAATTTTATAAGCATTGATTCATAAAGGATATATAATAAGAAAATAATATAATTTTAGGTGAAAAAACGAATTAATAAGTTTGAGGTTGAACTAGTTGAGCTTTAAGCTAAGCTCAGCTCGATAAACCTCCACAACATCCAATCATCCATATCAAGAACACATTAACTATGAGATCATTTTGATCTCCTTAATTAGCAGCAACCAAAACTCCAACACAAACATCCACTCATAGTCATATTTATGTTTATAGAATAAATTGAGTTGATAAAATAGACCGACCTAAAAGGTGAGAGGAATTGTTGCTTCTAATGTAGTGTCCTACGAGCACAAAATCAAAAGAGAAGCGAAAAAGAAATAGAAATACATACAACAATGACCTAAATACAGTGTCTTACAAGAACTATACAACACTACTTCAAGTCTCCATGATGTATATAGAACTTAACTGTGTTCCAACTGATGTCAATCCCTTACATCTGGACACTACGACAATGCTCTCATAGATAAAAGTTGAGGTAACAATACAGTATAGCCTGTGTTCCATTGATTGATAAAGAATATATAAAAAGAAAAAAAGGTAGAGGAATTTGATGCTTGTAATGTACTGTCCTACGACAAAATCAAAAGAGAAGGGAAAAAGAAATAGAAACACATACAACAATGACCTAAATATAGTATCTTACATGTACAACATTACTTCAAGCCTCCATGTATATGGAACTTAACTGAGTTCCAACTGATCTCAAATCTCAATCCCATAACATCTGGACACGCAACGATGCTCTCACTGACAAAAGTTAGGTAACAATACAGGTTTGATA